TACACAGTGCATTTTTGGCCCCATAGACTTTATTGAAAGTGCATGTACATGCATTTTTTACGCATCTTTGATGCACTTTTGTGCTTAGGCCCTCCATACCAGTGCAATGCAACATCACAGAGGTGCTGCAGGATGTGCTTGTGGTGAGCTGCAATAGACGGTTGATTCATTGAAATGGGCTGCCTACTACCGCTTAATTGTACTGAAAGAAATGCATGCAGCTTTCTTTAAAATCACATCTTACCACATCGCATGCTAAAAGGGTACCTTGCAATATGCTGCAATACAATGCACATGTGATACCTAGGTGCAGTGGTGTGCTATTAAGAAATAATGGTAGCAGATTGCACGTAACATTGCAATATACGATACTGAAATGCACATCTATAGTACATTACCGGGTGTTGACGTCTGAACAAGCCCTAAGACCGCTGTCAGCGTTTTATTGCTCTCTCCTCTGGAACGATGAACCTCAGTATTTGTTTTAGTGACCACTGTCATTAGGGAAAAGGATGTAGAGGAAATCCAAAATGTCATAGTTGTCACCAGAACAGGCAGTTAGGGAAAATCTTTAAGTGGGGGACCCTGTTCAGGTGACAACTCTCTAGTAGAACAATTCCCCTCTTTGGAGAGATTCTTGCTTACTTCCTATTGTATCCTCACGGCAGGAATTGAAGGGAAATCTCCCCATTAGACAGCAAAAACCTTTCCCTCCTCTATCCAAAACTAAAAACAAAATTTTGTTGTATAGATACAGTTGGTAGGAGACTACTGTACACACACAAAGCAAGAAAGCCTCATTCATACAGCAAAAATGGGGCAGCTGTGGCAAGAATCCAGCAGATTGTTGCTGCTGGATTTATAGGTGGATGTGGATATTTGCAGCCGCTGAGCCTGTGTAAAGCAAAGACAGGCTCACAGTGACCGCAGCTGTCAGTCGGTGTTCTGATGTAATTGCACATGGAATATTACCTGTGGTTAGGGACAGATGATCACCCTTGGAGCCAAACAGCTTGCATCCAGGGGCAATCATCTGTCCTTTACAGGCTCAGCGGCCACAACTATTCGCTTATACCTGCAAATCCAGCCACAGGAATCTGCTGGATTCTTTCCTGCAAATTTTTTTCCTTTGAGTGAATGAGGCCTAAGAGATATGTGCACAATATATAAGACATATACAAGGAAGTAGCTGATGGTCAGATCCTATAAGTCTGAATATCTAAATAATAGCCTGACACATCTGGCCGAACTACTGTCCCAGCCCTGATAAATGGAGGGCAGTAGATTATCAGATGTTGTTTTTGAACTAGTATACTTTTTTTTTTCCAACTGTGGTGGCCTGAGGGCCCTCACATCTATACTCATACCGATGCCCACGTGTTGATGCAAATTTATACACTTTTTCACGTTTACACTTTGGTATAATTGTGTGAACAGGCATCAAAGGAATTCATTTTTGTTTTTCATTGCATGCATTTTCCTGAAATTGCTAGAATCAGAGCAGCCAGGCATATGATGGTCTGATGTACCATGTTAGAATAGCTGAACTGGCCCCTGGATATAATCTACAGTATATCTATGGCTCACATATATACTACTTTTCATAGACTCAGCTGATTTTTCCCATGGGTAATATTGGTCTTGTAAAATTACAATTTTAATTTAAAAGGGCTGAGAAATCATCCCACATGTATGTCACAATCATGTTTTGTCTAGAACAGAGCATAAGTCTGTCACACCCTTGAGTAATAAACCAGGTGACCCAGTTTCCGAGGATAGGTTGTTATTTTGCCACTGACAGGTCTTGGTCCCACCTTAAAACACCCCTAGCCTTGGTTTAATAAATAGGAGTTTCGTTTCATTTAATGTCCTGAATGAGTAATTTTTCAGAAAGTAAACACAAGGATAATACATGGTAGTCTGCTAAAAGTCTTTCACTTCATATTTTAGTTAGATGAGCCATAACAACTACCTTAAGGCTATAATGATTGACAAACTAGAGAAGTGCTCATATCCATCCAGATATTCATTACAAATCACAGAATGTATTTCTACATAGAAACATCGATCTGGCTTGATATTAAATTCTCTGCACCAACAGCACTATTAATTATTTGGGACTGTATTGCTTTGCAGGGCCCATGTTTACAGAAATTAAGATGATCTCATGCTCCCTCATTGTCTAGTTACAGGTTTAGCCTAGTTCTTGACCAGATTGTATCACTTATAGCCCATCTCTGGGCAAAACTAAATATCCGTCCATCATCTCACCCCACCAGCAGTTTCATTTTGTTATTTTTTATTATTAAATAAAATACCATGTTAAACACTTTAATACTCATCTACGTCAGCCATCTGTCTCCTTCAATGGCGCAATTTCTGCGTGCGGAGACCCATAATCCAGTGCTGCAGATGCGCCGCCATCAGCTGGTCCTTTGCGCTGATGTTAGCACTCCAGTCCATCAACTGGATCCTGAAAGCACTCCACCACAGGACAGTCAGTAAGAAGTGTCAATGTTACTACCATTGTTCAGAAAGAGAGAGAAGACTCAAGACCGGAATGTAATGTGACCACAGATTAAGGTGAGTAAAAGGGGCATTTAGGTAGTTTTTTTCATTACTTAGAGGAGGGTTAAGGAAATCAAACACTGCGGTGTTAATGCCAGTGACAGACCACATCATATATGTCAAATTTTATTTTGCCTATAGTTGCACTTTAGGAACACTCATACTTTTACATAAAAATAGATTGGGTGAATCCACAGCAGAAAGAAAAGCTGTCTTCTGTTGATAAACCTCCTGAAAAGACAGGTATTATTAAGACGTATTACCAACAGATGGTGCAGTGTCAGCTCGAGGAGGCAGAACATGGCCATGAAGAACGGGTTTAGCTGGTCTGGATAGTTGATGAAAGAATATATCAAACAAAAGCTAGATCAGGGAAAGCTTTGTCTGGGTTAGGTTATAACATGCACTAGCTGTACATAGCGTGGAAAGTGAGAGTGTTGGGGGTGAATGAGATCTGTGAGATACCGCCAGACTATAACAGGCGTTTCTGACTTTCTAACGCAAATCCTACAGGAGATAAACAATCTGAATATGTCTGGGTGTGCTAAATAATTGATTTTGGCAATACATTTGCTTTTACACTGTTTAGTCTTGTTTGCCAAATTATTTGTTATAAGAACTGTATGCATTTCCCACAGCCACCAGATAAAACCATAGTTTCATTATCTGTCTCTGTGCAGAATGAATTTGGGTTTGGTAACACATTGATAAATAAAGTCAATTATTATTGTTAAAAATTCTCAGAGGCCTGAAAGGCTGTGTCGTTTGATGGGTAGGGACATTAAGATATACCTTCTGGCAAATACAAACATCAATGTAATCTGTTTTGCATTTTGTTCCCTTTTTACATGCTATTAAAGCTGAACGCAATGCACAAAACGGTAATTTAAATAAATTCCTTAGTAGCCACAAATTATATAAATCCACTTTGTGTAAATGTCTTTTCAAATTCAGTTATTACTAGAGATGTCCCAACACCATTTTTTCAAGACCAAGTACAAGTACTTTCCCTCAGGTACTCAAGGATTCCAATTACCAATACTTTTTCTTAAAGGGACATGACATATTTTTCTAAAACAATGCAGACTAATGATTTTAGGGCAGTTTCTCACCAGGGCTGCGTACAGATCTCACCAGAGCTGTGTACAGATCTCACCAGAGCTGAGTACAGATCTCACCAGGGCTGCATACAGATGTCAACCGGGCTGCGTACAGCTGTCACCAGGCTTGTACAGATGGTGTGTGGCTGCCTCGATCTGTGCCTGCCCTGGGAAGGAGGAGGTGGAGATGTGGGACCCGGCAGGCACTGACGCTGCTTCAGGTCCCCACAAGCGCAGGACCATAGGCAGCCGATCCGATTAAAAAATGTAAGGGGTCGGTATCAGCCTTTAGTATCAGGGCATTTTCACGAGTACAAGTACTTGTGAAAATGCCCTGTATCGATACCGATACTAGTAGAGGTATTGGGACATCCCTAGTTATTACTTTTTGCTGCACATAACCTGTGTAGGGAGCAGAGCTGTGGGTAGGGCCCTGCAAGCCCCACCCACTACCGGCTGCCTGCAGAAAACTACAGGAGGGGGCGGACACAAGACCAGTCACCCTGCACAAGGAGAGAGAGCAACAGTGACTGGTCTATATTTCAGGAAACTCCTGAACAGAGGCAAAGTTTAACACTGGATTACTGCACAGATCTGGAAGAAATGCACAAAGCACACCAATATTCATAAAAGATTACACATGTCTCTTGTATTTAGACAACATCTGTGTATACTGGATTTCAGCTTCAAGCCATCTATTGAGCACTGTAAGAAATGTTCACATTTTGATTTTTGGCATAGAAGCAAAGAACATGTTCTGTTCTGTACTATGCAGTGATTCCCAGACAACTGTAGATATCAGTAAATAGCTGTCAACGGTCCCCTATGTTGGTGGAATAAAAGTCACTACTGTTACTACTGTGTCTGGGACTGGAATTAAATGACACATCTAGGATTTTGTTTGTCGGCATGCATTTCCTTCTATGAATCTTTTATGGGTTCTTGCACTACCGCTTTACTGCCAAAAGTGTCGGGCTTGATCTTATCCTAATAAATAATATCTTCCATATGGACGATATGTGGATTGAATTGTTTTATGTCTTTCTGATGCTGGCCATATTCTATAAAATCTGATTATACAATCTCCTTGAAGAGATCTACAAACAACTATGTAGTTCCATGAGCTGCCTGGCAACTGGAATGGCTTGTTCATGTTTGTATTCATATCACATAGGTTTGGTAAATCTAAAGGAAATTGTGCAGTATAGTGTATGGCCAGCCTAAACCTACTTCACTCTAGACTCCACCACTTGGCTGAGAGCCACTCACAAGTCATAATGGTATTGCCCCAGTTGTAAGCACTCTTTATTCACCATATTTTGTTTTTTCCAGGTAAATGTGTCAAGATTCCAAACAAAATGAGCATGGAATCCAACACAGAGGGTTCCCCATCTAATCACCGTCCACCTGTATTTCTAACACCAGCAGCCAAAAAGTGCAACCGGGTTAATGGTGAAAGAAGACCACTGCAGGAGTGGCTTATTCAACTGCTGGCCTTGAAACCATACCGAAAACATGACCTCATTCTGCGCCTAGAAAAATCCAACACTTTCCCTAGAGATCAGACAGAACTATTGTCTGCACTGGATGTGGTATGTCATATGAATATTGAGCCCATTTCCATAGAAATCACAAATATATTGTCATGGAGAGTTACATGGTTTAATGATTTAGAGAGTTACATTATGTGAGTTAATGATTTAAAATTCTCATTGGTGGTAGGCCATCACCACATCATGGATACAAAACAGTAGACTATACTGTGTTGTAATGCATATATTTACAAGTTGAAGCTTAAGTGGGCAGCACTTCCGGTGATCCAGAGGTGCTCATCTGGTAATTTGAGGGGGACCAACATCTAGAACCTATTTACTGAAAGTTATCAAATTGATGTATGAACATCCAAGGTAAATCTTTATTGGTTTCAGACCACTAAAAAGTAATCTTACCGTTTTTAGCAGATGCTGACTATTTTTGTTTGTAAAACTCCTTTTCTAGAGTTTCTAGCGCTGCACACCTGCTCTGGCCATTATGAGGAGTTTCCTCTTTTCGCTTTTGGGGTGCCTTTTATTTTATATTATGAATAATGCAACAGGAAAAGAAGATAGTATGGGTCCAGATAGGGGTGTCCCTAGCCTTTTCACCGCCTAAGACCAGACAGGGGATTGGGGGGGGTGGATCATCTCACCGGCTCTGGCCAGTGCCCTGCCCAGCTCCCTGATATCCTTGGCTACCAGGAGCTTGGCAGGACCCCAGGCAGACCCTCCCAGGTTGCTAAGAACTGTGTGGAGAGATGTGTATGGCCATTATATATCTCCCCGCCCAGCCCTTAGCAACCAGGGATGCTCTGGCCAGAAAGTGGGTGACAGGCACCCTGAACTGCCAGCAGCCCCCCCACGTGACCCAAAGAGATGCCATCTGAGGCAACAGCTGCCGGCTGCCTCGTTATAGGGATAACCCTAGGTCCAGAACAGAATTGGTATATATCTCAATCTCTCTCCTTTCAAAGTTTGGTTCTGGGACAAAGAAACCATCCATGCATGATGGTATTGCTGCAGCTTTAATAAAGTAAAACAAGCTGAAAGCTATAATGAGAAGTCTCAATGCCTCTTTTGTGTATTGTGACTCTCTGCAGACCCACTCCCTACTCTTACCATTCATCTTGTTATTAACTGCACTTTTGACATCATTAATGAGCATGACTACAACATTGATTGCTTCTCTAGAGACTTGTAGTTTTCTGCTATACATATCCTCCTAGAAACACAACTGTATCTCTTTTAGATAAATGGTAACTAAATACATTTTTCTTTTAAACTAACATTAGAGGAGGTGTACGTGTTCTACATTTTTACTCATTTAGGGATAACTAGAGGGCTGGAAATGTAATGTCATAGAGATTTGTGGTTTTCAGCATGTTTGAGAGTGTTAAGAAAGATGATGCAGTGCACATATAACATTCTGAGGATGCCTCTATTGCTGCCTGTTAAATCTGTGCAATTACAGTAAGTAGTATTTAACGTCAATCACAATACAGTACAATTTTTTAGTTTAACAAATCACTTGGGCTATACATCCAAAAATGCCATAGAGTAAAGGAGCCTTATACCTAGAGCAGAGCTAAACTCAGCAATACTCACCACTACTAAAATTATGTCTCTGAGCTCCTTCAGTGCCACAGACATCTTCTCCTGTTCTTCTTTCAGGTTCAACATGTTCGGCCATCTTTATTGGCTGGCCTGGGATCATGTAACTCCCGTACATTCGCACAGGAGTTAATTACTTCCAACACCTGGCAGATGCCAGCATTGTACACTGAACATGTGCAGCTCAGTGTATACAATAAAGAAGTCTGCAAGGAGGAAGGTAAGAAGATGTTATTGCAGAAGAGACATAAAATGTCTCTTCTCTAATAAGAAAACCTTCCTGCTACATTTTTGTCAATAGACAAGTTCTACTTCAACTGCTGGAAATTTTAGAGCTTTGTTAGATTTTTTTATTAGTGATGTTTTCTTGCTTCCTGTCTATTTGATGGGTGTCAGACAGAATAGGTAAAAAAAATAGTGGGGTGAGGAAGTTTTAGGGCTATTAGGAGTTTATTACTGTCTATGTTCTTAATGAGGAACTTTCCCCTCATTGCCTGCTCAGGTGATGTGTACAGGACAGAATAGAAGTTGAGGTGAAATGTTTTAACAGTGACACAGACAGCATTTAAAGATACACTGTCACCATTCAGGACAAAGTGACAGTGCCTTCTGACAGCTCAAACCGGCCCTTTCCCCAGCAAGGTATACCTAGTCATCTGATGTTCCATTGCTCAGACAAGAGAGTGGGGATTCTGGGTATGGGGAGCATGTGTCCCTGTGGGGGAAAGGGGGGGGCAGTGACATCATCCTCCCGGGTAAGCTCATTATGACTCGTGAGACTCCTGAGAGGATCAGTTAGTTTACTAATTTTGGGGGTGGCTGTCAGGAGACACTGTCATCCCGCCTCTGAAGATTAAATTTAAAAAAATATGGCTTTTATTCAGCTTTAAACATGAGGAAAGACTTTGTGAAAAGAATGAAAAATGAGAAATGTTCAGCTGCAGCTAAATTATGCTCTGGTCACATAATACATGAAAATAGCTTATGCTGGAGAGCTGCCAATCAACTGCTTGAGAAAACTTGCCATTATGCAAATATCACAATAGCCAGATACACCCTAAAATGTAGAGCTTTAGATTGTTTATACATCATAAGTGTAATTGCAAACAGAACTTTACTAATTATTTAATAATCCCACTTTAATGTGCACATGGAAATGCTGGGATGGAAAAGAGACTTTAATCCAGGAACTTTATGTTATTTCAAGGTTCCCATAGTGTAATGTTTACACTGAGTGGCCAGTTTATTATGACCACCTGACATTTGTAGGCAAATTAGCTATAATTAGCTATAAGTTTGCGCTGAAGTTGCTAGAGGGCCAGACCATTATAAATAGGGAAGCAGATTGTTTACCACGACAGTAGAAGTGATTTTTTTCTGAAGGTATGGGTAAACAACGCGATTTAACAGCCTTTGAACGTGGGATGATTGTTGGCGCTCGGAGCCATGGAGCGAGTATCAGCAAAACAGCAGAATTCGTTAAATGTTCAAGAGGGGCTCATTGTTAAAGTGTTTAAAGACTGGACTGTCAGCCAAAAAATCTGGGTCTGAACGTGCGAATTGTGGCCGTCAGCGACTAGTCTATGTTAGGGCAGAACGCAGGGTGGCAAGACTGGCACAAGACAACAGACGGGCAACAGTGCAGTGTCAGATTCCTCGCATCACCTTTCAACATCTCGTGGAGTCACGAGGCGGCCCAACAAAGTCATCTCGTGGAGTTATCATGTGGCCCAACGAAGTACTGATGGGGTGGTCATAATAATCTGGCCACTCAGTGTATAATCCAATACTATAACAATTGTATCAATTTCGAGTGGTTGCAAAATGACTGAGTTAGAACTTTTGCCTAATGCCCCTTTCAAACGGTTCGATCAGGAGGGGATCCATGCACGGATCCCCTGCCGATCAGAACAGATGTCACCATCATCTGTGTCCAATCAATTTTTTATTCAATCTTGTGAAAAAACTGAAATTAGCAGACCCCATGTCGGTCTATGGGGAGTCTGATGTAAACAGACGTTTTCATTTACATCAGATTACCTCCAATCAGGCCTAGTGAAATAGAACTCTGAGCCACTTGTTTTTCTGGACCTGGCCAGACACGGGGGTACCTGGATGTAAGTGGATGCACATCCATTTAGATGTGGTTGTCCATAAACTAACATTGGGCTTCCGATCAGATCCACCTGAAAAACTGACAGGCAGACCTTATCAGAATGCCTCTGTGGAATGGGCCTTATAGTGCTGGCAACCTAGGTAGGATTCCAACTAGGACACACAAGGGCATATTTATAAAGCAGTAAATCTGGCATAAATGTTAAATTCAGTATCATTTGCAACAAAGTGGAGCTCCGATCTGCAGCTGGGGTATTTAATAATGAAGCACACAAGCCTTAAGTATGATATATAATATGGTATTGTAGTAGGTGATGTAGGCTGGAAATTTGAGTAACCCCTTCCACCCTACAACCATTGTAAAGCTGAGATATCAGGTGATGAGTCTTTTTGTTTCCATTAGTTTGCCATTGCATATTATTACAGGATATGGTGTGCCTATGTATCAGATAGTGGAAAGATCTTTTAATAGTTGAACTGTTTCACAATATTTAGTATATGATCCATTGGGTGCTTTTAGCACCTTGTTTGGTACTTTAATGACAGTGAAAACTTGCCATAGCATTTATCATTTTTCTTTCTCTGGTCAACCTACAATCTATCTTGAGAGCCTTTACATGTTCAGTATTACAGAATCAGGGACATTTCTCCCTGGTTGTGTCATTCATTGTCTCTCATGCTGTAGAAATGATGGATGGAATACTGAGATGATTCTTTAAGCATCTAATTGGAGAAAAAAAAAAGATCCAGCAACACACTGATATTTTATGTATTGTGGTTCATTGGCCAGCGAACGTAAATGCACATACCCCTGAAACTCAGGGTCATGTTGATATACTTTGTATAATGTGCCACTGTTGAGGTAGGTTGAGAAAAGATTCTGTCTGCAATTTGGTGAGTTGGCCAACTTTTCCCTTTTTAGATCAACTGAATACAACATTTCACATCCCTTTTAAAGTGTGCAAGTAGCAATTCTAGGATACACATGGGTTAATGTATACTAAATAGTATGCGTCTGCTGCCAAAGTAGACTAAAAGAAGCACTGCTAACATCCCTAAGGGCTTCACTAGAAGGATACTAGTAGATACTTGAAAAACTTTACAGATGTTCAAACTCTCTTTCATGAATGACCTCTTAGTTTAACTGCTTTTGAGGGAGACTGCAAATTGTTGGTTGGGGCAGGGAGAATTTTCACCACATTTACTAAGCTAAGGAAAAAATTATCTGGCAAAGTGAACAGCCTATTTTCCTTTAATAATAAACCCCACTGACTTGGAACAAGTATTCCGATCAGGAGCTGCGAAGTCCTCTTTTCTTATTCTTTTTCTGGGTCAGCTTCTTTAATAAAAGGAAGTTCTTCTTCTGTGGCAGTGTATAACTTTCCCATATCTGACATAACCTTTCTCTTCTTTGGCTTCATATATGTAACTTTAATAACCTAAATGTATTTGATTTTTGAGGGTAAACCACCTCTTACTCTATGTGGAGGGAGAAATTCAAAGACAAACGTTCAATTATTTGTTCTTACATATTCCAGGTAGGACAACAGAACCCTAAAGATAGCAAGTATAGTCTGAAAGAAGACCTGTACGGCCAGGTACAGAAGGACTGGTTGGGTTATACTCCAGAGGAGAGGCAGCACTTAGCAGGTATTCTTTCAAGGTATGAAGGACAGTTTTATAACTAGTAATAGCAATCATAAAAATATTTTGTGTTACACCTGACTCATAATGCTATTGTGAAAGAAAACATGGGTGTTGTCTATGGCAATATAAATGTCACTTTACTAGTACAAGTTAAAGCAAAATTATTGGTCTTTGGCCAATCTAAAGTAGATTTCTTTCATTCCCATCTTTTCAAACATAATTTGTAGCTGCATCCCCGAAGCACTAGAGAGAAACTTTGTCCGAGACTGTGATAAAATAATCTTTGTTAGCTTTACATGTGCACTGGGCTCTCTGGACGATGTGTCAGTATCACAAGCTGAATCTTTATTACCAGCTGGAATAAGGAGGGCCCTGTGGATGGTTTATAAATTGGTTTGTTTAAAGTGTTGTTCAATGTGAAATAAATGAACACAGAGTCCCTCCGCATTCCTCACAATGCTCCCGGCCCGTAAGAAAATTGGTGCTCGCAGTGATGACCACGGATGGAGCCGTGCAGACACAAAAAAGAGGATAAGGATCACCAGCACTCAGCAATGTAATTAAGTATGTCCATTTTATTTGGACAAAGGCACAGTGAAAACAGCCAACGTTTTGGGGCCATGCAGGGTCCCTTTTATCAGGGCAAAGGATGTGACATGTGACATCCTTTGCCCTGATGAAGGGACCCTGCGTGGCCCCGAAACGTTGACTGTTTTCACTGTGCCTTTGTCCAAATAAAATGGACATACTTAATGACATTGCTGGTGATCCTTATCCTCTTCTTTGTTCAATGTGAAATAAGATATAATACTTTGTAAGGTGTATACATTTTTATCATGTATTGATTATCATTACGTTATTTTTATCATGTATTGACATAATTATTTATCATGTATTGTAAATCATCAAGTACAGTGAAATAGATTTAAAAAAAATGAATGAAGTATTAATAATATAATAAAACTCTTAATCTAAAGTTTAAATATTTTCCTTTGTCATTTCACCATGCAGTAGGAAACACCCAAATAGCTCCTTATCACTGAATGGCCAGGCACCAGCCGAGAGGGACAGAACACAGCATAGCCTGCCATCCTCTCACCACAATGCAAGGACGAGGCCTCCTGATGCTGTAAGTGCTATATCTCCATAGCTGACACAAGCATTGTGCTAAAGTTATACAATCAGTTTTCTGGGCGGATGCAGTGAATATAGCATACATTACATTTATGACAGTATATTTTAAGAAACATTCCACCTCAATCCCCAGCATTTCCATATGTTCCAAGGTTTAGTTATTATATCTAGCGACTATTTACTCATGCCTTATCCTCTCCTTGACATGCATGTCATTCTGAAAACAGATACATATAATACCTCATTCTGATTATAGAGAACTCTGAAAGCTAAACTGTTAGGATGCTCTAAAAATGTAACACTGGCCTTACCATTGCATAGCTTACAGCTGTCCCCGTGTGAGTAGGACAGTTCGTCATCGATGGGGTAGCTTGGCAGAATGTCTTGGCTTAGCCTAAGTGGGAGATTGTAAAGGTTTAGGCAGGAATTTCAGGATGGGCAGGGGGTGTTGTCTTGGTAAAGGCAGGAATGTCTCCATAATGATTGGGGGGCATTTTGTCCCAACACACATACAGTATATGACTTCCTAATAATAGTCCATCCTCATTTTACAGGTACATACAGATTACCATTACCTTTATATTTGTGAACACTTTAGAAATGAACACCTTTTAGGCTTACACATGAGCTGTCCATGTATAGACCCAACTTCTATGAATGTGTATATATTGTTACATGCCATATAGTTTACCTGATTTGCTTGGTTCATGTTATTGTTCTAAGAAACGTCCGGCGGGAGTTAATACCACAGAAAATAACAACTGCAAAAGAATAAAATCATCATTGGATGGTGATCCTTCTGAACAACACTCCAGCTCTTCATGCAACACGCATGTGAACTCTAGGCATCGGACTGGCTCTGAGAGTGCCAAAAAACTGCCCCCTGTGTCTGAGAAACACAGAGTCTTTCCAGCACAAAGAATCAAAAAGCACAGCACAGAACGAACTTTACACACAGAAATGCACAAACGCACAAAAACATGTGATGGGTCACAGACTGGCAAAGTCAAGCATAGAGTTTCTACAAATCCAGCACCTCTAATGGACAACAGACCAGGTTGGCTAAAAGAAGGAAAGAGAGAACATGAATCAAGTGAAGAGGAGGAAGAAGAAGACTGGGAAGAGGAAGCTATCCTGTTGGAAAGGTGCCTCACATCTCCAGAAGGTACATGTTGCTATTATTATTATTATTATTATTATTATTCAGGATTTATATAGACCCAACAGTTTGCGCAGCACTATACATATAAATAGAGACAGTACAGTTACATTACAATTCCAGACAGGAGGGGTAAGAAGGTTCTGCTTGTGACAGCTTACAATCTAAAAGAGAAGGAAAAGTGATACAGAAAGAAAGTTGGTAAGGTAACATTTCAGTTGTTAGGTAGAAGAGATGAATATCTTTAGATAGGCTTGCCTGAAGAGATGAGTTTTCAGGTAGGAGTAGGAATAAGAGATAGCCAGAAATATTGGGGTATGGAGTTCTAGAAGATGGGAGAGGCTCAGAAGAAATCCTGGAAGAGCATGGGGTTGGTGATAAAGGAACTAGAGCGCAGGAGGTTCTGGGAAAAGTGGGGAGGATGGGTTGGTAATATTCTGAGATGAGGTTAGTGATGTAGCTAAGGAAAGAGTCTTGGAAGGCTTTATGTATGTTGTTGTTGGTATCATTACGGGGATTAGGTTATTAATGTTCAAGTAGGACAATGGGAGGTGGCAATGTAATTGAAGGTATACTGTTTATTCTCTTCCTGACAATTGCTAACCAGTAGGACACATATTAGGAGAATGTGAGCACCAGTTTGTGTAAGATTTACAGAGAAGCCGGGAAGTCTTATTTTTACCTATTAGCTGTGTATCACTGTATAGACACATCAATCACTTTTGTTTTTAATTTTTTATAATGACAATATGCATTTATGTGTCAGGCACAGAGGGAGTAATAATCCCTCTGCACAGTGCCCCTGTATATTAAAAAATATGGCAATCAAAAAGCCTTTCTGACCATGCCCTAGGTGAGCATTAAATGACAAATTATTTCCGCCACGTGACTCTGAAAATCAATGTAATGCATATAGTTTTGAATTCAATATATAAAATAAATGTGCTACATATGTTTATTTACATTATTTGTTCTTTCTCTTTTTACTTGATGATAGAGTATCTTCATCCCCCAACATCCTTTATGAAGGAATAGCTTCAAAAATCCAGGGGCACAGAAAGACAGAAAAATGCAGTAATTCTATAAACCACAAATAAACAAATATGAGTTTTCTTTTGCAAACTGACTCTAAATGCATCCAGTCCAACTTGTGCGATGACATTTTTAAATGACATTATATAGACTGCAATGTTTCCTGAGAAGTATCTATTTTAGGTGGCTATTGTATGTTACATTGAGCTGTTCTGTTGCTTCTTGCAGAGTGCTGTACGAACTGCACACCTGTACCCTGCTTTGTTCCAAAGCAAATATATGCTGATGGAGAGATGATAAAAATGTGCATGTTGCTTCACAGAGAGCCTTAAAAGCCTCTTCACAATTAATCCTAGAGCTCTCAGAAATGAACAGATTAACTCTTTAGGTGACATTCTTTAGTGTTGCTCAATTAAGGAAATATGGACACCAGAGAACACGTTTCAGAGAACAGAAAGTTGAGAAATCCTTCTAAAGTGTAACTGTGGCATGACTATGGGCTTTTAAAAATATACTTATATTTATCAAACAGTAAATGAGCATTAATAAAAGTTCTCACTGACCTCTAGCTGAAGGCACTGAGGAAAAGTCCATTCTCAATGTTCACAGAAATATTGAATGTTTCCACATCTTTCCCTCGGCAGCTCAGCTTACCATGCTCTCTCACTCTCCCAGAACCTCAGCTCTGTATGTACATTAGACATTAGAAGACTAGAAGTCTGCTAAGTTACTGCTCGAAGAGGAGAGTAGGGTAAACTGAACTGCTAAGACAAAGCGCCAGAGGTTCTGCTGTGAACGTTGGGAATGAATCTCTGTAGCGTGCCTGCAGCTGCCAAGTTCCAAAAGGTCTTGTTTTAAAGCTCATTTACTGCTTTTTTAAGAATAGGTAAATAATAAATGTCCACAGCCTAGCCATAGTTATATGGGATTACTGCAATTTCTCCCCAGAATCAGGACATTATATGTGAGAGAAGGTTCCTTGGTACTAGGGTTCATGAGACACTGGGGCTGCAGTCTCACAATAGAATTATATTGTAAGCTTACAGCCCCAGTGTCTCGTGAACTCTAGTACCAAGGAACCTTCTCTCAGATATAATGGAGCTCTGTTAATTATTGGCTTCCCTCTGTGTAAACAAAAGTGGGAAGAGAATCAGAAGTTAATGTGAAGTGGCCATGTAGCTTCAAAAGGGAAAAATATTATGTGTGCATTCCAGCATTTTTTGTATATATCATATATTGTCCTTTTTTTTTTTGTTAGAAAAAGATGAAGTTTCGGAGCCAGCCCTACCTTCTGAAGAGGTTCCAGATTACTTGAAGTAAGTTTCCAGTAAATACTTTTTGCTTTGCTGTGTGAGGTGCAAAAAGAAACAAAAACAATTATTGGGTAATACAACATTACAGTCTTAAGAGAGATTTCTTTGGAATTTATGTCCTAATGCAGCAAAGATTATCTAAAACGTTTCATCCTAAATATGCCAAAATAAGGATTCTGCAGTAGATCCAGTGCCGTATTTACTCTCTCTACTGTGCCAAACCCAGCGCCCAGAACTGCATATTCTGGGCATCAGGAGATAGGAATTCCACACCCCTGCTGCCCCTATACGCCCTGCTGCCACAAGGTTGGCCTTGTGGGAAATCCTGCCCTAAGTAGATCCAGATTCTAGCTATGAGATTTTGTTTTGCATATACCATGCCATTAGTACATTTCTCAAAGCAATGGAAGGGGCAAGCATTTCAATATCTTTGCTGCAGTGTGGGATATTGTGAAGCAAACCCTTTGGCAAATGCTTGCGTCTACATCAGTGCTGGTCAGCTTATGAAGTATAGGGAGCCTCATCTGAGGCCCCTGACATTACCAAAGGGAGCTGTACATAATATCCTGTATGTATAATGCTACAAAAAGACAGCATACTGTACATATTACCGAAGATGCTCAGAGACTAAGGTAATGCTACAGCAGTGATTAGAGACTGAGGATATGCTGCAGGAAGAGAGGTCACCGACTGGGGTGATGTTAAATCAGACTACCAGGGATGCCTGCCTTTGTATCTTCTGCACAAATCAACATTTCCCGGCTTGACTGCTGGGGTCTGAGGGCCGCACTACATTATTATTATTCAGGATTTATATAGCACCAACAGTGCAGTGCTTTACAATATAAGGGAGACATTACAGTTACAGTACAAATCAAGACAAGATAGTAAGGAGGGCCTTGCCCATGAGAGCTTACAATTTAAGGTTGGGCACCAGGACAATATATTATCATCTAGCTCAATGCACATTTTGAAACAGAATTTCAACTTCAGTTCTGTACCTTAAAGCACACAGAAATGAAATTGTCAACATTTTTGCAAAACAGTAAGCCCGTGGCCTAGAATATGGAAGTCTAACATTCACTGTTTTAGCAAAAATAAAAAACAATTGGAATAAAAATAAACTCGCTATACTCCCTGTGTGCGCACTGTGCACCAGCTGCCTTGCTAGTTACGTTCATTAACCTTGCTAGGAGACCCCCTTGGCTGGTGACAAGTAATTTCAAGGTTAAGCACAGTATGCATAAGGAGATAAGTCTCCTGGCACATTATACACACACAGCAGCTTAACTCTACCAATGCTGAGGAGCTGCACAGATGGGGCACTGAGCTTGTCTCTATCTGCAAAATTGTCTTTAGAGATAACAGGTACTCTGTTTGTCTCTATGTTCAATCAGACTAATGTTGGCTATTGATACATTTTGCTCGCCAAAGTAACCTAAAGTCAAGCACCATTTACTATTACCATTTCTAGTATATTGGTAATGAAAATGACTGATTTGCTAAGCAGATCATTTGCAGTGACAATAACGCATCCCTCGAAATAAAAATATAAATCATTGTTTGGTGCAGGGCGCTTAGAGTTCATTTAAAGAGTTGTAAAGTCACAGCATATATTATCCTGTTAACATATGAGGCCTCCGATTCTATGCAGCTATTAGGTATAAATATATAGCACAGCTGTAGAGGCAGCTACATACAGAGGAAACACGAGGCCCATTGTTTATGCATTATTGTATTTCAATCACATTTCTTACTATTATTATTATTTTTAAATGTGTAATTTCATGTTTCTCAAACTAACAACACTGTGCCTCTGCTACTCAGAAATCCCAAGCATGTTGTCCACCCTTCCTCTGCTGGACTACAGAAAACCTTCCACTTTCCCCCTCTGCTACTCTGAAATCACAAGCATGTTGCCCCCCCTTCCTCTGCTGGACTACAGAAAACCTTCCACTTTCCCCCTCTGCTACTCTGAAATCACAAGCATGTTGCCCCCCCTTCCTCTGCTGGACTACAGAAAACCTTCCACTTTCCCCCTCTGCTACTCTGAAATCCCAAGCATGTTGCCCACCCTTCCTCTGCAGGACTACAGAAAACTTTCAACCTTCTGCAGTCCAGCAGATGGGAACCAGGCACAACACTGGTTGGGATTGCATTGCAGCAGAGGCAGTGTTGTTGGCCCAGAACAGGAAGTTAGGAGCTCATCGGACTTCTGGCAGATCAACGTATATTTTTTGTATTTGCTATTTTTTAGAAGAGACAACACATAGGGAATGTGCATGTACTGCAGATATACTGCATTTTTATTTTTATTTTGCCCAGACATACACTTTAAGACAGCGCTGGGTAAATCCCAGGAGCCAGGTAGCCAATGCTCCTTAAAAATGACAGTTGGCACCTAACTTTTGAGGTTTTCTCTTGTTGTTGCCAATGGAGCAGACTCCTAAACAATCCTGTTGGCTCCTGGATTTGGACAGCCTGGCTCCTGAATTCCATATTTTCTCTCGGTTATTACACTTTACACATCTGCTTTACACTTTCTTATTAAACAATCTTAACATGCACACTGTGACAAGGTGGGTAGGATGCTTGCCATGCAGCACTGGGATTTGTGGTTTGACACCCTCCAAGGACACCATCTACATGTTCCCCTTGTTTTTAAATAGATTTCCGCCAGGTGTTCCATTTTTCTGCTACAACTGTAAAAACATGCCGATAGATTAGCTTTGTTTATATGTAATTTGCTCTGCTGTGTGTGCATGATTGTTACAGAGACAATAGGCTGTAAGCTCTTTAGGAGAATTAACTGATGTGACTGGTCTAATGGTCTCTGAAAAGCTCTGAACTGAATCTATACGTCAGGTATAGGACAGGAGTTTAATGTCACAGTAGATCGGATTCTTACTGTTCTTATATAAAAAGTTGTATGGCTTGCTGCAATATAATTTGCTATTATTTTTCAAATACCTGTTTTAATGTTCTAAGGTAACAGATATTAGGTTATCAAGACCCGCACTGTCTTATTTGATCAATATGTACAATTTACCATACAGATGTGTGTGTGTGTGTGTGTGTGTATATAAATATATATTTGCCCAGCATAGATAGTAACTTTTCAGGAACAACTGGACAGCGCCATCCAGTGGCCACATTGGAGTACGTCATTTTGTAAATGTGGAAAATAAAATTTTGTAAGTGTCAAAATCTTTCCATGAACTCCCGAACAACAGTTGAGGATAGCAGACCTGCCTCTGGGCAGGTCAGGTCAGTGTCTATAACCCAGCTATGAGTGAAAAACTCTGCAAAAGGTTTAATAAAAAGCTTCTTTACGTAGCTTCAAAGAGTATCTGGATCTCTCCCAAGACTTCTGCAAGAATGTAGTTTTAACTAATGAAGATCATAGAGAACTGTATGGATGACATGACCTGGTTACATCTGGCAAAAGCCCATTATGTTGTTTTACAGCCAGACATAAAGATATAAGAATGATATTCTCCCGCAGAACCCTGGAGTTTTATCTCCGTTGTAGAGGACATACATTATACTGTATATCAGAACATTCCAAATGAGGAAGTCAAGACATTAGTCCTTTGGTTGAACTGAAAGATGGACGGAGAATGCAGAATGACAGTGACCAAAACCATACAAGCAAGTCAACTACAGAATGACTAAATAAAATGAAGCGGGATTTTAGGTCAACAGCATAACACATAGTTGAAGTACAAATGTTTACTGTTTACCTGCCAAAGGATTTGTCATTTTAACAAGCCATTTACACCATACAAACCCCGTGGGACAGTTTACCGTTTCTTAGTTCAGCTCCGTGCTCCCTGGACAGAGACAATTATACTGGCTCACTGTCCATCCTGGAGGCAGAGAGGAGACATAGGAAGCTACGAAGCTTTTTACCATCTTACACACAAAGAAAATGGTATAGAAATATAATTTCACTCTCCATATATTGAATGTTTTTAGTACAGTTCTGATCTTCATTTAAAAAACTTGGTGCAGTAGGATACAACAAAGATGCAGGTTTTCTAGCATTGGGCCAGATGTCTTCTTTGTATACGGTGATACAACAAACGTCAAACAGGATTGTGTTTTGTACTTGTAAGATGTTAAGCTTAGAATAGCAGTCATATCTGTGCATGTCTCTAGGATAATGGTTGGATCTTTAGTATGTTTGCACACAGGTAGTAAATGATTATATGGCTGCATATAGAAAAGAGCAAAGTTTAGGAACGTGTGCTGTGACATTTCCCCTTGGCCTTTGCATCAACAAAGATAACAATGAGAAACATGAATATGACTCTGACTGATTAATACATATGAATGCAAAAATGTGCTTGAATAATGTATACACTCTTAATAAACTATGTGTGGAAACAAAGTGTTTATGGTGCGTTCAATATGAAAGCTCTAATATGGAAATACAGATACTCTGTACGATTATAAGATCTTGGGGCCCATTCACATTGGATTTGTAGCGTTGCGATGCGTTCTGTTGCAATTCGTTTTTAAACGGATGCTAACTGAAGGGCACTGAAAAATGAATGGTGTGGATGGGGCTAGTTCTCACTGCTGCATTGTGTTGCTTTACGTTGTGTTGTGCTGAAAATAGGTAGAACATGCACTACTTTTTTTTCCAGCGCAATGTAATGCAATGGATCCGGTGTGAACTAGCCCCCTTCATACCCATTCAATTTTCGGTGGCCTCCCATTAGCATCCGTTGAAAAACAGATGGCAACGCAGCAGATCGTAAGGAAACCGAAAGGTACGATTGCAAGTAAACGGACCCTCCATTCTCTTTGCAGCTGTAGATAGAAGCTTCTTAAATTCATATTTTAGAATTTACTTAGCTGCTTTCTGCACACATCGGTAAAATGCTTTTTGACAGTCCTGCCCCTTTAAGGCCAGTGCTGATGGGCTGTCATTCACTTCAAGCAGGTTTTGAATTTTCTTACAAGTCTAAAGGAACACAGAACTTGCCTGAAGCTGGTCAAATGCAGGTAAGAATTAAGTCAACTACAGGTCAAATTAGGGGTGGACTGACAACACATGGGGCCCCCAGGCAATACAAGATTATGGGGCCCCCTGTGCTCCACCCATATACAAGCCCCACCCACATAAACATTCCTATGATACAGAAATTATTTCTCCACACTATTTTTAAATAATGGGCCAATTCACTAAAAGATAAATTGCCAGGGAATTGGTAGGATAATTATTTAAAAATCTAGACCAATATAGGAGATTTGGAAAGTGAGCTAAATGGCAGAATGTGCGGCAGACCTCAGACCAGAATCAATGAATGGCACACTGGGCAGTTAAAATGACGCTTACACAACAACATCTCCGGGATCAGCCATCGCACACAGTCTGATCCCTGTGGGACATCACCCGTACACACGTTAATGGGCAGCAGGGGCAGGTGCAGAGGGTCTCAGCAGGGGCAGGTGCGGAGGGTCTCAGCAGGGGCAGGTGCGGAGGGTCTCAGCAGGGGCAGGTGCCGAGGGTCTCAGCAGGGGCAGGTGCGGACACTATTCCTCCAGTGGGGGGCTCAGGACCGGATCTCAGTGGGGCCCCCTCCAGATAAGGAGGGTCTCAGCAGGGGCAGATAAGGAGGGTCTCAGCATGGGCAGATAAGGGGGGTCTCAGCATAGGCAGACACCATTCCT